GGCGAAGCTGTCTAGCGAAGTTTAGGGAAGCTGTTTAGGGAAGACTAGTGTGACCTTAGCTTTAGGGAATTCCTGGGACGCTTAAAGGGGATTGTTGGGAAGCTAGGAAAGCGCCGAGATATTAAAAGGATACGTTGTCATAATGAAACGTATTTCCATCTTAATCTTTTACTTGTGGACTTTCTGAGACGCTGAAATCTTGCTGAGAACATAAAGGGTTTTCGAAGACGCTAAAAGGGGTTGCTGAAACATGCTTGTACGAACATCATATGGCTTTCTGAGAGACTAACAATCTGCTGTGGCACTGTAAGACGTCCGTGGCACTACAAGATTTACACTATGGTAATCTAGGCACGTATTATCCTTTGCTTACTTACCCCCCCCCCCTTTTTTTCTTGAGTAACAAACGAAAACAACAAAAAATAAGCTTCAATAAACATTACTCTTAATATAATACTATATAACATATTCTTCAACAAGTAATATTCCACTAAATATAACCAAGCATCCAAGACAGGCATAAAGACAAGCTTATCTACCTTTCTACATACATAAATACACGGACAAATAAATAAATATAAATATAAAATAAATAAATATAAATAAATACACGGACAAATAAATAAATATAAATATAAAATAAATAAATATAATATACCGGACGAATAAATAAATATAAATAAAATTAAATAAATAAATAAATACACGGACAAATAAATAAATATAAATAAAATAAATAAAATTACAACAAATAAATAAATATAAATATAAAATAAATAAATATAAATAAATACACGACAATAAATAAACATTAAATATAAAATAAATAAATATAAATAAATACACGGACAAATAAATATAAATATAAATATGAAAATAAATAAATATAAATAAATACACGGACAAATAAATAAATATAAATATAAAATAAATAAACATAAACAAATACACGGAACAAATAAATAAATTTGAATATGAAATAAATACATATAAATATAAAATAAATAAATATAAATTATAAAATAAAAAATATAAACAAAATAACGGACAAATAAATAAAATATAAATATAAATAAAAACAAATATAAGTAAATACACGGACAAAAATAAATAAATATAAATATAAATACATATAACAAATACACGGACAAATAAATAAATATAAAACATAAAATAAATACATATAAACAAATACACGGACGAATAATAATATGAATATAAAATAAAATAAAATATAAATAAATACACGGACAAATAAATTAAATATAGATAGAAAAAATAAAATAAATATAAATATAAAATAATAATAAATTAGAAGCACAATAAAACAATAAAAAAAAATAATAATAAATATAATAAATAAATAAATATAATATAAAATAAATAAAATATAAATATAAAATAAACAAATATAAACAAATACACACGGGCGCGCTTCCCCTGATCGCCTTACTTCTGAGTCTCAGGACGTCTCCGCCCGAATTTCGCGCAGGTCGTGGGCGCTCACACGGCCAGGCCAGTAAGTAGTCGCCTACGTCGGTTGGGCTCGTGAAGAGCGGGGATAAAGAGCGACAGACCGACTTTCGGGCCGGTGACTGCAGATAAAAGTACGTGTGTAGTAAGTAGTAGTAGTAAGTGGTGGCGGTGTGCTAGTACGTAGTAGTAGTAGTGGTAGTAGTAGTAGAATAGTGGTGGCGTGGTGCTAGTCTGAGTAATAGTGTAGTGGTAAGTAAGTCACGTCCAGAGTAGTAGTAGTCAGTAGTCAGGTATTAGTTAGTAGTAATAGTAGTAGTGGTAGTTAAAGTAGTAGTAGTAGTAGTAGTGGTAGTAGTAGTTAGTAGTAGTGGTTGAGCGGTGTGCTAGTCAAGTAGTGTGGTGTAAGTGGGTCAGTAAGTAGTTTGGTAGTACACGCTCCAGTAGTAGGCTAGTAGTAGTAGTGTAGTAGTAGTAGTGGTAGTAGTGGTAGTAGTAGTAAGTGGTAGTAGTAGTAGTTAGTAAGTAGTAGTATAGTCAGTAATAGTAAGTAGTAATAGTAGTAGTGGTAGTAGTAGTAGTAGTAGTAGTAGTGGTAGTAGTAGTATAGTGGTGGCCGGTAGGTGCTAGTAGTAGTAGTGTAGTGGGTAAGTAAGTAGTGGTAGATAGTAGTAGTGGTAGTTAGTAGTATGTGGTAGTAAGTAGTCAGTGGTTTAGGTAGTTGTAGTGGTAGTAGTAGTAGTGGTAGTGGAGTAGTGGTAGTAGTAGTAGTAGGTAGTAGTAGTAGTGGTAGTAGTAAAGTGGTAGTAGTAGTCAAGTCAGTAGTAGTAGTAAGTGGAGTAGTAGTAGTAGTCAGTGGTAGTAGTAGTAGTAGTAGTAGTAGAGTAGTAGTAGTTAAGTAGTAGGGTAGTTTAGTAGTAAGTAGTAGTAGTGGTAGTAGAGTAGTTGTAGTGGTAGTAGTGGTAGTAGTAGTAGTTGAGTGGTAGTAGTAGTAGTTGTAGTGGTAGTAAGTAGTAGTTGTAGTGGT